CTGGTTCTTTTTTATGGTTTCTAGGTCCTTTTTTATGCCATTGAAGTTCTCTCTGAGTTCACCTACTCTTCCCCTAAGTTTATTGAGCATTCTTATAACCAGTATTTTGAACTCTGCATCTAGTAGATGGCTTGTCTCCATTTTCTTTAGTTCTTTTTTTTTTTTTTTTTTTTTCCAATCCTCATGTGAGGATATATTTTTATTGATTTTTAGAGAGACAGAAAAGGAATGACAGAGAGAGAGAGAGAGAGAGAGAGAGAGAGAGAGAGAGAGAGATCTATTTTGTTCATCAGCTTATTTTGTTCATTATATTCCACAAATAAGTGAAATCATGTGATACTTGTCTTTCTCTGACTGGCTTATTTTGCTTAGCATAATACTCTCCAAGTCCCTCCATATCATTTCAAAGGATAAGAGATCTTCCTTTCTTACAGCTGCATAGTATTCCATTGTGTAGATGTACCACAACTTTTGTATTCACTCATTAACTGATGGACTCTTGGGCTGTTTCCAGATCTTAGCAATTATTAATAGTGCTGCTATGAAATAGGGTATATTCTTTCTTTCTTTCTTTTTTTTTTTTTTTTATCCTCACCCGAGGACATTTTTCCATTTTTTGTACAGATAGAGTGGGAGGGAGAGAGAGGAACAGAGAGAGAGAGAAACATCGATGTGAAAGGAACACATCGAGTGGCTGCCACCCGCACAACCAACCAGGGCCGGGGACAAACTGCAACCGAGGTACGCGCCCTTAACGGGAACCAAACCCGGGTCTCTCTGGACCGCAGGCCGACGCTCTAACCGCTGAACCAAACCGGCCAGGGCAGGGTATATTCTTTCTGATTGATGTTTCACACTTCTTAGGATATATTCCTAGAAGTGGGATCACTGGGTCAGATGGCAGTTCCATTTTCAATTTTTTGAGAAAATTGTTTTCCATAGTGGCTGCACCAGTCTGCATTCCCACCAGCAGTGTATTGGAGTACCCTTTTCTCCAAATCCTCATCAGCACTTGTTGTTTGATGATTTGTTGTTGGCAGCCATTCTGGCAGGTGTGAGGTGATACCTCATAGTCATTTGAATTTGCATCTCTCTGATGATTAGTGACGTTGAACATTTTTTCATATGTCTCTTGGCCATTTGTATGTCCTCTTTGGAGAAGTGTCTATTCAGGTCCTCTGCCTATTTTTTAGTTGGATTGTTTGTCTTTTTTCTGTTGAGCTGTATGAGCATTTCTTTATATATTTTGGAAATTAACCCCTTACCTGATGTATCATTGGCAAATATATTGTCCCATACAGTGGGTTCCCTTTTCATTTTGATGCTGGTTTCTTTTTTTTCTTTTTAAAATATGTTTTATTGATTTTTTTTTTAGAGAAAGAGGAAGGGAGAGGGAGAAATAGAAACATCAATGAGGGAGACACATCAGTCGGCTGTCTCCTGCACACCCCCCACCAGGGATCAAACCTGAAACCTGGGCACATACCCAGACCGGGAATTGAACCAGTGACCTCTTGGACCATGGGTTCACGCTCAACCACTGAGCCACATCAGCTGGGTTTGATGTAGTCCCATTTATTAATGTTTTCCTTTGTTTCTCTTGCCCTAGGCGATGTATCGGTGAAAATTCTGGTAGGTGTGATGTCTTAGATTTTGCTGCCTACATTTTCTTCTAGGATTTTTATGATTTCATGACTTATGTTTAAGTCTTTTATTCATTTTGAGTTTATTCTTGTGTAAGGTATAAGTTGGTGGTTTAGTTTAATTTTTTTGTATGTACCTGTCCAATTTTCCCAACACCATTTATTGAAGACACTGTCTTTTCTCCATTGTATCCTCTTGCCTTTTTTGTCAAATATTAATTTAGCATAACGTCTTGGGTCAATTTCTGGGTTCTCTGTTCTGTTCAATTGAGCGATATGCCTGTTCTTGTGCCAGTACCAGACTGTTTTGATTACAGTGGCTTTGTAGTATAACTTGATATACAGAATTGTGATCCTCCAACTTTGTTCTTCTTTTTCAAGATTGCTGTGGCTATTTGGAGTCTTTTTTGGTTCCATATAAACTTTTGGAGTCTTTATTCTAGATCTGTGAAATACTAAAGTATCTATTGGTACTTTAATAGGGATTGCATTGAATCTGTAGATAGCTTGGGGTGGTATGGGCATTTTAATGGTGTTGATTCTTCCAATCCATGAGCACGGTATATGCTTCCACTTTTTTATATCTTCCTCTTTTTTTTTTTTTTTTTTTTCAATGTCCTGTAGTTTTATGAGAAGGGGTCTTTTATCTCCTTGGTTAAGTTTATTTTGAGGTATCTTAATTTTTTGTTGCAATGATAAATGGGATTGTTTTTTTAGTTTCTCTGAGTGCTCATTATTGGTGTATAAAAACCAGCTGATTATTTTCAAAGAGACTTTAACTTGGACTCCAAGGACCTCAACCTCACTTTCCCCATCCAGCAAACAGGGATGCTGAAGGCTGCCTTGCCTGTAGTCTCTTGTGGTCTTTCCTCTCTTCCTAGAGGTCCAGGGAAACCCATCTGGTTTGCTTTCCTCCACTTGCTTGATTTCTGATGTTTCTCATTCCCAGAGCAGCCTTTGGGGCCGCATAGCCACCACCTAAAACCCTTCAGAGCAAAGGGGGTAGAGAAAGAGAGATATGTGGAGAGAGGCTCCATTGCCAGCCTCCTCTGAGCACCCTGTTTTTCAGAGTCTCAGTACCTAGTCTGTTTCCTTCCGAGCACTGTATGTAGACTTGACTTTATTCCTTCCCACACAGCTCTGCCCTCGAGGTCAGAAACCATGCCTGCCAGTGTCTCCAGCATTCTCCACAGTGCCTGGCACCCAGAATTTATACGTGGAATGTGCAAAGGGAGAGTCAGGGAAAGGAAAGGGCTAAGGGGTAGATACAGGGAAGGAAGAGAAGGGAGAGAAGGAAGGGAGAAGAGGAGAGGTGGTGAATGAATGTTAAATGCTGAGAGATCTAAACATAAGAGACAAGAGTGAGGGTCGAGGGTGGAGGATGAGATATGAGCATGAAAAAGACTAGCCCAAGAGAGGGGTGTGTGAAGAGACATGCAGAGAGAAAGATGGAAAGAGTGGAGAAAGAAAGGAATGGAGACACCTGATTAGAGAAAGAGACGTGTAAATGGTGAGACAGAGAGAGAGACAGAGAGAATGTGTAAGGCCAGAGTTGCAGGAAAAAAACCTCATTGAGAGCCAAGCTTGGGGTTGCAGGGTCTCTTTGACCGATGGCAGGAGCTAGAGCAGCGCTGCTGGGAGCTTGGGATGCTGGAGCGGTTTCCATGGAGATGGGGAATGCTCCTGGTGGGAAACACTGTACCCCGGAGGGGAGGGCTGGAGAGGAGGTGGAGGGGCTGGCTGGGTTTGCCTTCTCCCCAGGCTCTTTCCTCATTCCTGCCTCTTGCTGGTGGGGGGGGGGGGGAGGCATGGGGAAGGAAGGGCTGCACTGAGTCCATCCCTTCTCTGTCATCTCCTCACCCTGAAGTTTGATAGGGACATGGAGGGCTTTGCAAAGTGTCAGGGACATTTGAGGAGATGGATGGGTCAACTTTTCTCCATAGGCTCCTCCTCTTTTCCTGCCCAGTAAATGCTGGAGCACCCCAGGGTTCAGTCCTGAGCCCTCTCTCCAGTTTCCCTAAGGTTGAGTCCCAGGGATTTGCATGCCCATGGCTCCCAAAGTTACACCTCCAGATCCCCGCCCCAGCTTTCTTCTCTAGTTGGGTATCTAAAAGCCATCTTCAAAGTTGTTGAATTCTTAAAAAAATTTTTTTTTCTTCATTGATTTTAGAGAGAGAGAGAGCAAGGGAGAAGTAGGGAGAGATAGAAACATCGATTGGCTGCCTCCTGCATGCCCCCCACTGGGGAACAGGCCCACAACCTGGGCATGTGCCCTGACTGGGAATCGAACTGGTGACCTCTTGGTGCATGGGTCGACACTCAACCACTGAGCCACACCAGCTGGGCTGATTATTATTTTTTATCATTATGACTAGTTTTAATAATAATAACAACTAAATTTATACAGGACTTACTGTGCCATGCACTTCACATTTGCTGCCTCCTGTAATCTTTATAATCACTTGATTGCCATCATTATCCCCATTTCACAGATAAGGAAACAGGCTCAAAGGTGACAGAACTAGCTCTAGGTCACACATTTATGAACTAGCTGAGCCAGAATTTGAGCCCCAGCTCTCTTAAGCCCGTTGCTCTAATGAATCTCTCTCTCCTCCCACCACAGTGCAAGCTTCCTGAGGCTAGAGTTCAAATATCCCCACCCCCTGCCTAGTCCATTGCTTGGTACACAGTAGGCCTTCAATAGATACTACTTGAGTGAGTGAATGCCTAGCCCTGTGCCAAGTATCTTACAAGCATTACTTCATTTAATTCTCACAACCACCTTGTGAGGTAAGTATTCACTCTGATTTTCAACATACAAACACAAACAGGAGGCACCCCCAAAGGCATATACTAAGTGAAAGAACTAGGCTCAAATTCCATCGTTCTCACCCAGTCTGTTCTCTGAGCACAGTGTTCAGCTGTGTGAATGAGAATGTATTTCCAGCACCTTGACGAAAAGGAAAATAACATTCAATAAATATCTGTTGACTGAACAACCTAAATAAATAGTGATGAAGACAGGAGAGGGTGGGCATGGCCAAGATGCTAAAGGAAGTTGTCGGAGGTGACAGTGGTTTGCTATTTTCTCATATTTACAGGAGGCTTCCTGGAGGTAGGAGTTGATTTGATAGGGGCGGGGGAAGGCATTATGGGTTCCGGAAAGCTTCTGCTCTCCTAGGCAGTAAGTCATCCCAGGCTCTAGGGTTTCTGGAACTCACAGGAATCGGCTAACAGGCTCTACGGTTGATGAGCGGAGTGAGGAGGGTTCCTGGGGATCCTCGGGCTCTGAGGAGTAATCACCTCCTTCTCTCTTTCTTCCTGACCGCGGCGGGGGCTGGCCTCGCGCCCCCTCAGCTCTGTGCCTCGTGCTGGGCTGCATGATCTTCCCCGATGGCTGGGACTCCGAGACGATCCGGGACATGTGCGGGACCAAGACCGGGAAGTACTCCTTGGGGGACTGTTCCGTGCGCTGGGCGTACATCCTGGCCATCATTGGCATCCTCAACGCCCTCATCCTCTCCTTCCTCGCCTTCGTGCTGGGCAACCGGCAAACAGACCTGCTGCAGGAGGAGCTCAAGCAGGACAACAAAGGCGAGTGCGCACTTCCGCTTCCGGGGGCGGGGGCGGGGGCGGGGGTGGGGCCGGGGCCGGGGCATCTTCCAAATCAATCACGAAGCAGAGATTGGGAATGGCACACACAGCACGACCACCTTGAAAACAATTTGACTTTATGCCTCAGAGCCGAACATCTGAGCTCCTGTGACCCAGGAAACTCTCCAGTGAGTATAAACCCATGAGAAACGTGTAAGAATGCTCTTGGCAGCAGTTTCAAAATAGCAAATAAATGAAAACAACCTAAATGGACATTGACAAGCGTATGGATAAATAAATGGCGATATATTCACATCACGGAAAACGAATGAACCTCAGTTATAGTAACTATATGGGTACACTAGAAACATACTATATTGAGAGGGGGGGAAATCAAGTTCCAGAAGATGACACAGATTTTTACTGAGCTAAAAGTCAAGCACCACTAAGCAATGTGTAGTTTAAACATACCTATATTTATGGTAATACTGGTTTTTTTTTTAAGCAAAGAAATGAGAAATATAAATGGTAGGACGGTGTTATGGATGAGGGAAGCCAAGAGCAGATGGTGGACAGGTAGGTGTGTACACATTATTGTATTTGTACAAAGTACTGTAAAGTTACAGTTCTTGAATAATGCTTTACACTTAATATATTGCATAGATATATAAAGTAACATTAAAATACAATAAAGAAACAACTTACACATAAGACCAGAACCTCAGGGGCTACCAATGCTTATCTGTGCATCTTCAAACTTCATCTGTCCCTTTACAAAACAGTGTTAAGTGCCAATATAACATAGGACAGGTGTCATCCTAAACAACACCCAGCTCCCACCCCAGCTCCCTTTCTGTGCTCCACTCTGGAGCATGTCGTAAAGATCTGTTTTTATCATTTCATGGAGAACTGTCTTGTCCTTTTTATCTAATCCTTAGCATTACATAAAATAAAGAAACTCTACTTTCTTATCATTTCCCCTTTTAGGGGCTATTAGTGAGGTTTCCAGGTTTTTACTATTACTGGCAATGCTACAATGAACATCGTCGTGTGTGGCTTCTTATATTCAAGTATCTTCTTGATGTCTTTCCAGAAGTTAAATTACACACTTACCACTGAAATGATAGTGCCAGATTGTTCTCCACTGGAGGGCCAGTTTTCTGACCCAGGGGCCCACCCTGCCCCCTGAGCAAGGAGAGACACTGCATAGCATTGGTGGACAGACCGCTGTCAGTCTGGGTGTGTGTCCTCTGCTGTGAGAAATAGTTGGCATTTTCATAGCCACACCCTCCCTTGAGTTGTTAGCATGATCTGGGTCTATGTTTAACACTTTCCATTAATTATATTTATCTCTTGGAGTTTCTCATCTATAAAATAGGGACACTGGTGGTGAAGACTATTTCAGTTGGTGGGAGGTAATTCAGTATTGTGGTGGAACCCTAGGACTGTGAAAGCAGACTATCTGTGTTGGAAGCAGGCTGAGCTAAGAAATGACGTCACCTTCTTGAGCCTCAATTTCCAGCACTTCACAAAATGACTGTGATGAGAACCCACCACCTTATAGGGCTGTCCTGTGAGGAAGAAAGAAAGATTATGCCTGTGAAAGGGCATGTGGTGAATGCTCAGGAAAAGCTGCCACTCACTCCTGGACACAGACACCCCATCAGGCAGGCATCATGACCACCCTTTTACAAAGCCAAAGTCTGGAGAGGTCCAGTCACTTGCCCAGAGCCACCTAAGTGGCAGAATTTGAATGTGAACCCATATTCAAGTTCAAAGGCCAAGCTTTTCCCCACTGCCTGCCCCTTTTCAGTCCCTCCTGGGTTGCTAGTTGGTAACCTACGCGCTCTGAGCCTCCCGCCCCTGGATACCCTGATAGTCTGTGGTTTCTGTGGTCTTGGTATGAAGTCAGAGCCTGCCCTCTGGTGGCAGCTTCCAGAAGTGCATGACTAAAACAGCCATCTGCCCTTCTTGGTTGAGGTGGGCCCACTCAGCATCCTCTCCTCCCTCCTCAACCACCCTAATAGCTCAGTGTTAAAAGTGATGTCAGCATCCAGGATTTCATTCCTTACTAAGAGCTCAAGATGAGTGAACCCCACAGTCAGTTCGAAACCAAAGATCTCCGGAACAAAAGTAAAAAATAAAGTAAATTGCTGTAATTTCCAGCATTTAGTATACACCAAACACTGTGCAGAGTCCTTGGCTGGCATTATGTCTTTCTGACCCTCAGAAGCACCTTTGTGAGTGAGGCTGTTCTGCTGTCTTGCAGATAAGGAAGTTGGGACTCTGAGGTCCAATGGCCTGCTCAAGGCCATCAGCTAGTTAGAGGCCTGGTTGGGATTTCAGAGCCTTTGCAGCTCACTCCTCTGCTCAGCTTTGCCCTGAGGATTGGCTGAGGGGAGCCCTAATGCCCTGCTGGACTCTGACTTTCTCCCATTCTCTCTCTTTCTCTCTTAGATTTTGTGAGCTCTACAGTAAGCTCCGTGTTGCGGCCAGGGGGCGATGTCTCCAGCTGGGGAGTCCTCCCCTGTCCTGTTGCTCACTCACAGGGACCCTGAAGGCCAGGATCGCAGCCCAGGAATTGACCTGCCTTCAGAGTGTCCCATCGGTTGTCCTCTCACCCTCCATTCAAGCTCTGAGGGAAGACCCCAATCTCGGACTGACTTCTCATCTGCTACCTGCCTGCCAGCTCCAGACTTTGAAGACAGGTTGGGGCTGGATGCAGGCTGAGAGGGAGGAGAGAGGCCCAGCAGAACCTGAAGGGCCTGATTTTGCCCCTCCCTCAACTGACCTAAGGGAGGTGAACATCCCTTGGGGTCTCCTCTCCTCTCCCTCCTGGCCTGGGGGCCCTGCTGTATCCAGGGAGAGGAGACACTGTGATCCCAGGGCCCCAGGCTCCCTCAGTCTGGGAGCAGCTGCCTGGCTGTATCCTTGCCTCCTCTGGTCTCTGCCTCCCGCAGAAACTTATTTAAGACACTGCCCCAGGGCAACCGAACTCTTTCCTACTTTTCTTTTCTTTTCTTTTTTTTTTTTTGGTCTGATGATGGTTCCATCACATCTTTGCAGAGCTCCAGGCATCACTAGCCTCCCCAGGGCCGCTCTGCCCCTACTGCAGCGTGCTCCCAGCTCTCCCAAAGGAGTTTGAGCTGCACCGAGGGAGAAAGCACAGGGCCTCCCTGTCAACTGGCGCCCAGTTCAGCCCAGAGTCTGAGGAAAAAAACAGACAGGCTCTAAGGGAACTGCGGCTGGGAGTGTGGCTCTGCCTGGGGCTGGCCTGGCCTCGCCTCTCTGCTGGGATGTCTCACCACTGACTGGACCCTTGACCCCAGCCTGTTTTGTACAGCACAGACTCTTTGGCCCTGTTGTTAGGGTTGGAGGTTGGGGAGGGGGCCTAACCATGGGGCATTAGGGGAAGTATCACCCCTCTGCCCCTTCTCATGCCAACTGACCCTGGCATTTGCCAAGGGCAGAGACTGTCTTGCCTCTTTGATACTTTTCTGCATAACTTGAACTTGCAGGTCACCTCTGAACAGGGTACCCCCTGTCCCCATCCCCAGGCCTTGTAACCCAGTCTCCACACCTCTTCCTTCTCTTTGCCCACCTCTCGCCTTGCGACATGCCCAGGGTCTGCAGCCCAATGGGCAGTGCTTGGAGCCGAGGCATGAGTGTGTGTGTGTGTGTGTGTGTGTGTGTGAGAGAGAGAGAGAGTGTGTCTAAGTATGGGGGGGGCAGACGAGGAGTCTTCTCTCCCCCTCTTCTCCCACTGTGGAGAGCATTTCCTTCCCACTTGGCAGGGAGCAAATAAGGGAGACGGCAGGTGTTTCTGGACTTGGCAGGAGAGCCATCTGGCCAAGGGTGTGGTCAGCCCCTTTCAGGCCCTAGCTCAGGCAGCAGGTGGTCTTCCTCCAGTGTGCCTGCGTCTGGCTGCCGGTTCTGGCTGCCCAGCCCCCTGAGGGGAGCCTAAGGCCCCACCATTTTATTACGTTGGCCTCAGCCAAAGGTGGGGAGAAAAGCAGTGAGTGCCATGTATTTGCCAACCTGTATTCATTTTCATTGGACTTGGACCTGAGCGGGAAGACTATAGAAATCCTCTGCCCAAATCCCCCTTCTGGACCCTAACTGGGGTCAGAGGCTGAGTCCTGGTGGGATTCCCCAAACCTGGAGTTTCCCAAGTCCTGACCCCCACCCCCTCACTTTGCCCTGCCCAGCACTGTGCCCTGCTCCCCTGCTCCTCCAAGCCCTGCACTGCGGCCCCTGCTGGCACCTTCCCCGCAGGCTGCCGGCAGGCGGGGCTGGACAGCAGGGTCCCAGGTGGAAGAAGAGAGGAGCCTTGTGGGAGGGAGGGAGTGGGGGCAGATCCAAGCCAAAGGCCAGTGTTGGAAGGCTCCGGGAGGGAGGGGTCACCGGAGCAAGTGATTAGGAATGGGGAGAAAGGTGGGAGAAAGAATGAGACAGGAGAGGGGGAGGAGAGCAAGGAGGAGGGGGATCCAGGGAGGTTCAAAAATGGAAAGAGAGAGGAAGAGTGAACAGAGTGGGGACCCAGAGGGACAGAGAACCTGGGATGGGGGAATGTAGGGGACTGAAAAGAGGATTTGGGAAGGAGGCAAATGGAGAGACAGTTGTGGGAGACCAGACTGGGAGGCAGGGAGACATGGCGGGGGTGATGATGAAGGTGCCAGGGCTGAGGAATGAGGAGCATCTGTGTGTGCACTGTGTGAGGGGACCAGCCAAGGGGTCTGCCAGACCTGTGTGCCTTGTGGAGGTATTAGAACTACCCCCTCAGAGGCCAAGGACGGGCCCAGCCAGCCAGCCTTCAGATCGGGGATAGGGGGGTACAGTCCAGATGACTGCAGAACGGGTCAGTGCCATTGGAGTGGGCAAATGGCAGAGAAGAAGGAGGTTAATTCCCTTTGGGGTGATCTGACAGTGTTTCCATGTCACTGTCCATAAGCCACCTGCTGCCCTGGCTGAAGAATCGGGGTTAGGAAAGCAGGGCTGGGTGGGCTGCAGAAGCACCAGAGTAAGAGGGAGGGGAGAGAGGTCGGAGTGGGAACCACACCATAGCTCTGTCCCTGGGCTTCAGCACAGGGGGTAACTGGTGCTTCAGCCAGGGCCCCAGGAGAAGCCAAAGTGTGGTGGCTCCTGGGGCAAGGAAGCCATAGAGGCCAGGGGGTGTTTGTGGGATGTCCCTACCCCAGGTGGGAACTGAGATTTAGCCTTTGGGAGGAGATGGGAGCAGAGATGTCTTTTGTACTCTTGGTCTCTGAAAGCTGAGCTTTGAGGTCTCTGAGGTGCTCCTCCGATTGTGCCTGGATCAGAGGGCTGGCCCTCCCCAGCTTTCTCTGCCTGGTCTGGGACTCTCAGGATAGGCCAACGTGGCCACACCCAGACGTGGTCCAGCGTGTTGGCTGGTCAAGTTCTTCTGGGTCCCTGGGGTGTGAAAACTTTTCTGTTTGGGGACCAGTACCCATGGAGGAAAACATTGTTTTCCTGAGGGTGTGAGGACCATTGGTAGAATCAAGATCCTTTTCATGCCTGGAACAGCCACCACAACGGGAGCTTATAGACCAGGCTGTGGGGAGAAATTCCTTGGACTTCTTTTGAGATTCCTGCTTGGACCCAGGAGAATCCTCCTTCTCCAGCTTCCAGCATGAACTGAGGAAGGGATACCCTCTCTTTGGAGAAGCTGGGATGTTCCCAGCACAAGAAATTTCACAGGTCCCTGCCGGGTTCAGGGCTAGCCTTTGGGTGGGGTTGCAGTTTCCTGAGAAAGGAACGAGGGAGCCACAGTCCTTCCCAGAGCTCTGACCAGCGGGCCCCAGAGGGCCTGTGCTGTGTGATGTTAGGATAGCTTGGTGTCGTCCACACCCCATTAGTAAGTTCTGTCTGTATGTGTCCTCACTGTTCATTGTCCAATTTGGTAACACTTATTTTGGTCCAGACCCCTTCTGCTGCTGCTGGATTTGAGCTTCAGTACAGGTGGAATGATGTTCAAATAAAGAAACACTTTATATCACCCATGCTGGCTTCTCCTTCTCTGAGTCTGCCCCCCGGGAATCAAGAGGGGTGAAATGTAGCCTGACTCTTTGTACCAGGTTTGAGCTCTACAAGGTGGCTAATTTCTTTTCCCATCACAGAAAGTCTGGAGGTAGCCCAGACCATGACTAATATGGCCTACAGTGTGATCAGAAACCCAGGCTCCTGTCCTTCTTAGTGCCTGGCTTCCATCCGCATGGACACCTCATGGCCCAAAATGGCTGCTGGGCCTCGAATCACTTGGTCCATATTTCATTTGAAGGAGACTTCTGGAAATCCCATAGGACTGAGTCACATAGCACACCTAGCTGAAATGTAGTCTGTTAACTGGGCACATTGCCACCCCAAATCAAATTGAGGTTCTGTTACCAAGGGAAAGGAGAATAGATGGAGGGGGCGCTGGCAGTCTCTGCACATGCCTGATGGCGTAGGCTTGACTTTGGACCTAGGACTCTGACTAGAGCGAACGCTCCACCCTTTTTTCCGGTGTGGCCTTGGACAAGCCCCTTCCCCTCCAAATCCCCCTGGAATGAATGTGGATGACGACAGCGATCTTGGGGAAGTTGTAAGGAACAATGAGGGAATGTATGTGGATTGCTTTGTAGTGCCTGCCACATTGTAACATGCCCCATAATGGCAGCTACCTTGATGATCATTTGTGCACTTAGGAATTGTGTGCACTCAGTATAGACTAAGCACTTAGGGAACAAAAAACAGAGACCCCGACTCAATGACCAGTCTGGTTGGGGAGGTGGCATGTAAAAATGTAAAATCTGCTATGTGTAGGGTATTGTGGGCGCCCTGGGTGGGGACGCCTTACATGGCTTTTGGTGGGGTGGGCACAGCTGGAGGAGGGTTACTATAGGATGCCTAGGACTTAGGCAGGCATGGGTCAGGAAAGCCACTCAAGAAAAAGGCAGCTTGAGGAAAGAGATCAAGCAAAAGAAACAGAATGGTCTGTGTGGAGAACTACGTGCCGAACAGTCAAGTGTGAGGCAGGGAGGGTCAGAGATGAGTCTGGAGAGACAGGCAAAGGCCAGATGATGACAAAACTCCAGACCAGAGAGCAGTGGGGAACCGTGGAAGGATTTTAAGCAGCAGCAGGACACAATTAGAGTTGCATTTCAGAAAAATCACTCTGGTTGCAGTGTGAGGGGGCTGAATTAGAGGGAGACAATGTCAATGAAAGGGGAGTCAGAAGTCAGGCCTGAAGCAAGGCGGTGGCAGTGTCCCTGGGAGGTCAGAACTTTGATATTTAGGAAGTAGAACTGACACTTGGTAACTGATGGGTTGTGGGGGTAGGGACTAGAGAGTGGCATCAGGAGGACAGTTAAAATTTGCCAGTATAGCAGGGGAGCAAGATGAGACCTGTAAATTTGAGATGTATGTGGGGCGACCTGGTGCTGTTTTTTCAGTATTAGCTGACTTACATGGATTTGAGAGCTCAAGAGAAAGATCTGGATCAGAAGCACGGGCACACGGGCGATGGTTGAAAAGGAAAGCAGAGATGAGCTTGCTCAGGTGACTGTATAGTATGAAAAGACTGTGGGGCTACAGAATGCTGGACAACACCCGCAGATAAAGGTCAGAGGAATAATTCCAAAAGGAGGGGGCAGCAGAAGAGCTATGAGAACCATGAGGATGTGCTGTTATGGAAAGCAAGGCTTTAGAGTTCAAGGGGAAGGTCAACTGGTCAGGTGGAACAGAGAGGTCCAAAATTCAGGACTGAAAAATGTATCCACTGGACTTGAGAACGAGGAGGCCACTGTCGAAGAGCATGTTCACGGGAGTGTGAGGAGCACCACACAGGTCTGTTCAGGGAGAAAATGGGAGGTGACCGAGTGAGGATCACTTTTTGAAGTGTAGATAAGAAGGGAAAATTGTTGGAACTCATTCAAGGAATGTTAAGAATATACAGTGAACCAGCAGTGGACGAGGATTAGCACGTAATCTAGAGAAGAATGTGACATTTCTTTCTTTAAATATGAAAGAGTTCTGAATATATGCAGGTCATGGCCAGGAAGAGCTTAAAGAAAGAGAGGATGATGAAAGGGAGAGGAGAGGAAACCTCAAGTGCAAGGTTTAGGGAGCCCTCGCCTCATGGCATCCTTTTCCTCAGTGAAGCAGGAGGCAAAATTGGCTACTCAGAGAAGGAATGGGCAAGGGGTTGAGAAGACTGTGAGGTTTGAAACAGTTGCTACAGGGTCTGTCAAAGGATTTAGGACTGCTGGATGACCAGGAATCTGTGGTGGCAGACACAGAGAAGGCTGGCAGTAGACTGAGAGGTAGGTGCAAGGTAAGCCAAGTGTCGAGTGTTCCGTGAGATCTAGGTTGGTATTGAAAAAGATGAGCCCGGAATGACACAGACGGATGGAGGAAACGGAGGAACTGAGGAACTTAAGGGACTCAAGACTATGTGAAAGGAGACTGTGGCCAGAAAGCTGAGTGTTTGACCTGAATATTCTGGGTAATTCTTGAAGACTTTGAGATGTTAGGCGCTCTGATTAGGAAGTCCAGTCAAATGACAGTCATTTCTCTAAGAAGCCTGGTTTCTAAAGCCTTTCCAGGAGACAGAGCTGAGACAGACATACAAAACTGAAATATATATGTATAGATATGTAACCTATCCATC